TAAGAATGTTAATCTAATCATGCATGGCTCCTATACAGTGCTTGTTCGATAGTTTTGGATGCCCTATTCGAATTTAAAAAATTTGCCTTTTTATATATTATATTTGATATCATAAAAATTAGAAAATAAACTATAGTTAAAACTTTATAAAAAAATTTAATTCCAAACAAACGATCTCAATTCATAAATAATTTACAAAAAAATAAAATAAAACAGTAAAAATAATTATTTTTTAAAAAATTACTACTCTTTGCATTTTGCTTACAAAATCATTCATTAAATTCACATAATCTAGTTTTTCAACCATAGTTATCTCAATCAATAACAAAGCCAACATATTCAATCTCTTTTCTGTTATCGTACACCACATATAATTTATAATCAGGTTCTTTAATTTTAAAAAAAAACTTCTTTCAGTCATGGTAATTGATACCAAAATAATCAACAAAATACAACAAACAATTTTGGTGTTTGTATAACAATCCTCTATTTTTTCATAATATCAAGAACTTCAATAGGCTTCTGAATTTTTTTTCTGATATTGATACTTGGTATTTTACTCGGTGTTTGTATAACAATTCTCCATTTTCAGAAATTAGTTAATAAAAACAACAGTAAACTTAATTAGCATGTTTGTTAATAAAAAGATCATAAAATTGCTAACAAAAACTTTATAAATATTACTATTATAAATTAAATTAAATTATATATTATCATATTAATAGAGAACTAATCCAAATAAAAAAAATATTTAAAGAAAATATCTCTAAGTAACTAATCCTAATAAAAAAAATATTTTAAAATGATGCTCTTAAAATTTAGCTGTTCTAATCCTTTGCTTTGGTGGTTTAGCCTATGGGCCGGCCCTGCTCCTATATACATATATTTGGATATGTTCACATGATATGAACGCAAAAATGAGATGATAATGTTGGAATGCAGAGAGGGACTGGTGCATGCATGTGCATGAATAAGTTTTTTTTTTTTGAACTAAATTTTATGTGCACGAATATGTTATATGTAAACTTTAAAACTACTCTCACCTTTTGAAAGTAGCAATAAATATCAAAAAGACAATTTGATGGACCGTTATTTTGTGTGGGGCGAGTCTATATATATTATATATGTACGTTTTAATGTAATGAGAAAAAGGATTTCGTAGAATTGAGGAGTCAAACTGGAAGAGGGCACCCAACTTGCACTAAAGGTATAACGTGGAAATGTGACCGGTCATCTTTCAGCTAAAAGCAATTCACCCACGAAAACTAAATAATAAACCCAAAGATGCTTATACATATACTTATTTAAATATTACAGTAATGTTTTAACCACCTGTTTAAGTTTCAAGAGCAAAATCTCTGCCATCGGATCATTCTATCCAACTTTTGCTATGATCCTACAATATTATGGTTTAGCAATAGAAATGACATCTTTGTTGTACCGGAAAGGGAATATTATAAGAGTTTGGTTATACCGATTAGTTAATTGCTGATTCCATTGTTGTCTTCTAAAATTAAGTTATCAAGGTTGTAAACATTGTCTTTATTAATTTAAATTTCGCTCTTACACAAATAATAGACATCCATAAACTTCGATCTATTGTGTTACCTTATAATCGATTCAAAGTGTTTTCGATAAGGTGAATGAAAGTGAAACACTCCCACTTCCACCCATAATTTTTTTTTTTTGAAATTATTACCAAAAAAAAAAACATCTCGACTTATCACAATCAAAAGTTTTTTTGCTGCATTAAAGAGGAAATAGATGATGAAAAAGATGGCACGTGGAGAGCTAGGGTGCGTGAAGTAAAAGGGCATGACGTGGCTTTCTATATATCGCCTCAATTTTTGGTAACTTTGGACAGAATTGTGTTTCGACAGAGTGTTTTGTCTCTCTCCCAATTTCCAAAAACTACACTCATTAAAAGATTCCGTGGCCTTTACTATTGCTCTGCGCCTACAAATACACGTAACACTAGTTCAACTTCTCATTTTTTCTTATACTAAAGATTTAAGATAGTTTGAAAAAAAAAAGATTTAAGATAATATACTAAAATTTAACCTATTTATATCCAAAAGGATAATGTTCCTTAACAGCCGTACTTTTTTTGTTATATATAAAAAAGCACAATTTTAGAGATTTATAGAATTTAGTAGGATTTTTGGGAAAATAGATGATTAAATTTTAGAATTTTTCAAAAACAAAGCTTGACTGTACTCTGGATTGGATATGGGGGTGTCGAAATCCATTTTATATAGTATGTACTTGTATCTATAATTGTGAGTACATCTATCCGTCAATATATAACTCTAAAATCCGAATATGTGGTATATATACTACTACAATTTGAGACAGACCAGGAAGAATAATGTCATATTGAGAATTAAAGAATAAAGATATTGTGCCCACCATTTACATATGTACATCAACTGCGTTTTTGTCTATTTAATCGAATTGATGCGGTTCGCTTATTCATATTTAAACGTTAAATTTCTCCTTTTGGGGATCTGTACCTTCGGCTGAGTTAATCTTTGATAAAAACTAGGATAAATCTCTTATGCGAGTATGCGACCCAACCCAACCCCATACACTATCACGTGGCCCATGACTCTTTCAGAAGCTTAATGAAAGTACGCCCCTCATGCCGCACGATATTTTGACGGCTACTTCATTTTTAATGATTAATTGTTAGTGTTTGTATATAAAAATATGAATCTTATTCATTTGAATAATTTGAGATTCTGATCCCTTCGAACGGAGGAAAGGTCAGGAGGTCATAAGACCTAGCTAGTTTTCCATACACTACGTATTTGTTAAGTCACCTAACCTCCATTTCGTTACTATAGTTATTTGTATGTTTGTGTTTATATTTACACTAGTGAGATTTGTTTTTAATTAGTGAATCCACAATTTTAACCATATTAAATCAATTTCGCTTGTAAACAATACCAACGTAAAATTTTATCGCATGGATATGCTTTTGACGTTTGCGGTTGCATTTTCTCAACATATATCATGTGAAAATTAAACAAGTTTTTATATCTCAGTAGTAAATTTTGCTGGCCATATGAGATCAGAGTCGGTCTCTCCAATAATATTGGTGGCCTAAAACAAAAAAAAGATTCCATCATACAGAATAGTTATTTACTTATTTTTTTATTAGTTATTTTAAATAGATAACACATATTACTAAAATATGTACATGTTACTCTAAATATTTTAAAATCAATATCTTTATATTACAGAACATATATAATTTGAAAACTAAATTCATAAAAATTGGCAGACAAAGAGAGCAACGTTCCCACGCCCTTCTTGCTCACGATGTTGCCTCCACTTCCCGTGTAACATAGAGTAGGGCAAATAAATCTTCTGCAAATTATGTGGTCAATAAACTGAATACCTCTGCTTATATGTTCGAATTGTCCACTCTCAAATCTTTGTTAGTGTGTCTGGTATAAAATATAAAAAACTTTATCGTTGTGAAGTTGTTTATGTCTAACCACTAAACCCACCTGTTTTGTGATTAGAGTTATGATTGTGATATCAAATATAAAGTTTATCGTTGATTATTAGAGTTATGATTCTGATAGATCTGAATTTTCAAACAACCTTTCATGATACCTGCAGAAGCTGGGTCACATTGGACACACTGTCCCATTTTATAAATGTCACGTGATTTTCACGCATCCACCTTATATTTACACGTCGATTTGATATGTATAATCTTTCTGGCCACATTTAAGCGTTACGTGTACATTCGTACGCGAATGGATATGCATGTTCGTCATCATTATGTGCCTTGCCTTTTATAGTTTGCGTTGGCCGTTCAAGATTGGAGAAAGAAACACTAGATTTGTGTCGGTTTTTCGGGTGCCATCTTATATATTCCTTTAGATAATGTTTGATATTCGAATATGCTTTATTTTGGTTGGCAAAATCTCTCGAAAAATATCTTTTTGTGGATGGACAGAGAGATTATATATATATTTTTAACATTAATTTATTAATCTATTGCAAATTATGAAAACTATTACATAGATAATTCTACGAATAGTCAATTTTACCGTTTTATAAAAATTTATGAATAACAACTCTATTTACACTGTACCACATTTATCATCATCATCTGAAAATTTATGCTTAACGATTTTATTTACACCATGCTGAAGATTTTTTATAAACTTATTTCCATTAATTTCCATCATTTTATTAATAATCTGCATAATTAAGAATAAATCATGTTTTTAAAAATTTAAAACTTAAATTTCCTAATATAGAAAGATTAATAAATTATTATTAAATAATTGGGCTAAAAGAGTTCCACGACAGAGAGATTATTAAAAAAGCAAAACTTTATACCAACAATTTATTGGATTAATATTTTTAAAAACACCTAAAATAATTCCAACATAAGCATGTATTTCAATCATAATCATAACCGTATGTTTGAACTTCTGTATCTAATAAAACCATAAAATAGACAATATTGGGATTCGCACCTTCGTCATCACTTCATCAAATAATCAGCATCATCTACATCGTGACGTTCAGGATCAAAGATTGACTCGAAGCCTTCACAAATTAGGCCCAGGTCATTGAGCCCATTAACGACATGACCTTGCTTCCAAACAACACAAAACTTACAAGATGAAGTGAAAAACAAGAACTAAAATTTCTTCAAAATGGTGTATTAATGTATTTCCCATTTAAGTGAATCTGAGAAGCAAGTCCAGGAATCATTTAACTATGGAGCCTCTCAAGCAAAAATAATATTGAAAATAGTAACAAAAAAAATAAACGTCTATATTATGTAAAAGCTGATTCTGCGCCTATAATAATTAATCACAGAGTTCTGATGCAGCCCAAAATGAGGCCTGAAAATGCTCATCACACACAAATACCATGTTCCATTTCACATAGAAGCCTTACTATATAGCGAAGAAAACCAAAACTCGAGTAAAAGCACTCGACAATAAACGAAAGTGAAGAGTCTAACTATGGCGACACGAGAGATGATAATAGATGAGAGTGATGATATCGAGAGCTACAGTGAGCCAACTCTTTGTCTGGATAAAGCCAAGGAGCTTCTTGCTCTCATCAATCTACCCACAGGATTGCTGCCATTGAAGGATATGACAGAAGTCGGGTACAACAGAACAAAAGGGTTTGTGTGGATGAGGATGAGGAGCAAGATTGAGCATACATTCCGTGAAATAGGTCGTAAAGTGATATATGACACGGAGATAACTGCGTTTGTTGAGGACCGTCGGATGAAGAGACTTACCGGAGTCAAAAGCAAGGAGCTCATGATCTGGGTTCCTGTCAATGATATCTTCATCAAAGAGAAAGATCCTGAGAAGATCACCTTTGCTAATACCACCGGCCTGTCACGAACATTCAAAGTTTCAGCATTTCAGATGTAAACGGAGGAAAAGAGGAGAAAGCTGAACTTCCTTGATGTATGAAGCCAATAAAGAGCAGAATCGAAAGAACACAGTTTCAATTAATTAATATCATAAAGAGAAGCCTTTCTTACAAAGAATTGTTTATGGATCATATCAGTAGACGAACAAGTTCCAAAATTCGTTATGCCGTAAAATATAACAGTGAGTTTCCAATCAACATATCAGAACCGATTCATTGGCTAAATGTGGTGAAGATGCATGTCATGTATTCTGACTATAAGCCAATACATATAAACGAGAAAAGATGACTGAACCTAAACAATCAAATGGATCAAACAAACAACAGAATCTATTGGCTATATACATAAACTAAGAACTATTATATAGGAAAGAAGTTTTGAAGCAGCTTGCACCATCCTAGCTTAAATAAAAAGATTTGAAATCTGCCGAAGGAAATCTATCAAGTTAGCCAAACAAGACATAATGCATAAACACCTTTTCCCAAGTTTTTGAACATAACAAACGTACTCAAGTAAGACAATGAATAGAGTTAGATTACCAAGTTTACTGTTTTGCTGGGTAAGAGAGCTAGAATCCAAATCAGGGTCTCTCGCAAAGAGGATCGCGAAGAAATTTCCGGCCAAAGCTCTTAGCCTGACTCTGGTTTATTGAGATCCTTGTACTGAAACCACCAAATCTTTAAAAGAGGTAGTGGTGTAAATAATCATGGTGGTGGTGGTGAGTCTTATTTCTCCAACCCATCATCTGCTTCTCTTTTACTCCCATACATTGATCTCCAAGCACCAAGAGTCTTGAAATCCCAAACAGCCTCCGAGATCTCATCTTGAGGCAAGGTTAGACCCTCACGTTTTATTGACCTATGCAACTCACAGAAGAATTTAGGGTCTTGTAGCCCGATGTACTCCTGCAAAACCTGCTCATGATTCGGAATCCAATTCCTTGGGAACGGAGTATAATCACAGGACGGAATCAATGACATGCGAGAGAACTGAACTCCTTCTATAGCATCGACGAGTCCCATTCTCAGAAGATCAGAGTATTCAGGTGCAGAGTTGTTGCTACTCTCGCTTAATGGACGGCTGAGATCCCGCGAGGCTATGCTGTACACTTTGGCACGCGATTTAAGCCTATACCTCGCAGCGTATAGTTTAGCCAGAGAGCTTCTAATTACATAAGCACAGAACCCAACAGCCTTCTTGCGATTGTCTGCATACTTATACCAATCAGCCATCGTTTCAAGAAACTTGTTCATCTGAGAGTTACTATGAGACTGGCTTGAATAAAGCATCGGGTTACAAGGTAAAGGCTCGGGGTCTTTGTCACCTTTAACAAAAGCAAGCCTCCTAAATTGGCGGATACATTGTTCTAAATTAGCAGACACGGAGAGCAACGTCCCCACGCCCTTCTTGCTCACGATGCTGCCCCCACTTCCCGTGTAACGGAGAGTAGGGTATATAACTCTTCTGCAAATTATGTGGTCAAGAAACTGAACACCCCTGCTTATATGTTCAATCTCTAGCTTCGAATTATCCAACCTCAAACCCAAAGCTCTATCGCAAAACTCAGTTACTTCTTTCCTCATCTTTACTGCATCCTCTCTAGGCCCTCTAATCCCAATCAGAAAATGTCCTCCATACCTAATGTAATCCATTTTCCTAGTTTTCTCCTTCCCACTTGATGGAACAAACTCAGGCCAGGCTGGGTTATGGCAACCATCTTCAATAGACTCCTTCCATATCGAGTCGTCTTTGTTAGGTCTGAAGTACTCAACTATCTTCGTTTCCATATAGCGATCAAGCTCATTAAGACATACATTAGCAAGCAAAGGGCTCAATATCCCACAGTAGCCATAAGAAGGCACCTTTGCAGCTTCCTTAGGAGCAAAACTGTAGAAAGTCCTCAGCCAATAAGGATCCGGCTTTGGCTCATCCTCGTTCAAAATCTTCTTTTTCGTCCTCATCCTCTTTTCACGCTCGATCCTCCTTTTGGCTCCTAATGCATCGTCATTGCCATTTCTCTCGACGACGCGATTCAACACTCTCTTATCAGGCATTCTCAAAGAGGATTCGATCAAGCCGAGAACTTTTCTGTCATGGACAACTTTTCGAAGACAATTCATCACTACGTCGACATCAACATGATCCAAGAGCTCACTAACATCACCTTTCATGAACCACAGGTACCCAGCGAAGTTACTTCTGATAGTTCTAATCACAGTATGTGGATTTCTACCTGGACGAAACCCATGACTCTTGCTCGAAAACCTAGCCTCGAAGAACGGTTCGAGAATCATCAACAGAGCCTCGTGGACCACGCGATCCTGAAAAATCGGTTCTTCAGAGTCCATGATCCTTCTTAGCTTCCCTTTCGACATGGCTTCTCCTCCACTAGCCGAGACTTTATCGGTAGGGCTCCTGACGTACTGATTCATCTTGTCGTTCCACCGGAATCGACCACCGGAACTCGTGACGGCGCGTTGGAGTGAGAGAAGCGAGCGGAGGGCGTTGGCATGGATGGCATTGCGCGGCGGGAAAGTTCCGGTGACGTGAGCGCAAGTTCGCTGATAAGCTAAAACCCATAAGTCGAATTTGGAGAGGAAACCAGTGAGGTTGGAGAAAGTAGCGGAAGAAGGAGAAGAGAATGATTTGACCCAGAGGGAGAGACAGATGTCGACGGGATCTTGCTTGAGTAGTGAATATGGTTCCTGGGTCGAAGAAGCTTCTCGTGATTCCGGTTGGCGATTCGGGTGGATTGAAAGGGAAGAGATTGGCTTGAGGAAAGAGCTGCATTGCAAGTGTTCGACGATATTCCTCACCGAACTTAGAGGATATGTCGCCAGTCTTCTCATTCTCTCCACGGGATGACCAGAAGGAGAGACGAGTGTGTCATTAAACGTTTTGTAAATATATTTGTTCTTAATTCAGCCCCAACATTTTGGTAGTATTACGAGTTAAGCCTGAGGTTTTGAAAATTAAGAACTCTACCCTATATATATTAGCCTAAATTTTCGTAAATATTATTGATAACTTATTGGTTTAAATGGTGTGACTCTATGTATTTAATCACTTTCAATTAGACTGCTTTTCAGTTCATTTTGTTGGATATGACTGCTTTTCAATTATTATAATTCAGTAGTTTTGGGTATAAAGTAAAAATTAAGAAAATTTGTTCAAAGTTTTTAAAATGATGTGTATAGAATTGAGAACTTGTTAGTTCTTTTTTTTTTGTCAGCAGGATTATCTTTTCACAAGGAGAATTATGTTTGGAAAAATTAAAAATAAAGGACACTCTATTTATGGTGTTGTGCCTCTGAATCTTTGTAATTGATCATCGGGATAGTATGAAATAAAAATTAAGAAGTTTTTAGTATGAAGTAAAAATTAAGAAAATTTGTTTAAAGATTTTTTACTAAATTTATCTTTACAAAAATCAGATTTATGTTAGGCATAGAATTTATAACATCTTTTTAGTATATTTTATTTTGAAGGAATAAGATTTGAAATTTTTAGTATTGAATACAAAATTATGTAATTCCTAATCAGAAACGGAGCGAAGTAAATAATGTTATTTGACGAAGGAAAAAGGAACAAGATGAAAGAAATTGGAAGCTCGTGTTGTTGGGTCAATGCTTCTTAAGAAGTTGCCGTAAGATTTCAGAGAGACTTTTGCTTTGTCTGCTGCCAAAAAAAAACATCATCTGATCCCGAGTAAATCGCATCTTGTTCAAACCCTAAACCGATCTTCAATTTGACCGGGGGGGGATCTGAGCATGTCGAAACCTTTACCATATTCAGTGAAAGATATTCATTACGACAATGCCAAGTTCAGACACCGATCTCCTTTGAAGGTTGGAGCTTGATACTTAGATCTTGATCTGTGATGTAGATTCTATCCAAAGTTTTCTCCTTTTCTTTTATATATATATTACATAAATGTTTAGATTCATTCGGTGTCACTAGTTTCTTGCTTCTGCTTTGAGCTTTGGTTTTACATTAATGGCTCTTTGTGTCAAAATTGACCTGGGAAATACGAAATTACGTTTTTTTCTCTGTTTGTGAAACCAATGGAGATAGAATGATTAGCATAGCTGTTGATTTGCAAACTCAGTTGTTTCTGAGAGTTATACAAAAGCTAAATTTGTAAATGCCCCCAAAGCTTCAGCTTTAAAGATATAAGTTATAGTATATGCTTTCAGGTTAACGATGAAGTGTCTCCTTCAAATATATGATGTCCCTAGCATCAATCTTTCGAGTGTCTTTTTACTTTTTTCTTGACTAGTCTTAAAAGTAAAAAGCTTCTCCTTTTTTCGTTCCCTTAATGCGATGACTTGAAGCTTCTGGTTGTATGGTGTTTATGAAATATGATGTAAATCATCTCTCTGTTGCTCTTCTTTTGACATTTTTGTTCTTTTGTCTATAGGTTTTTTCTCAAAGCTTGCTTACTCTAAACACAAAACGTAACTACGCAAGCTGTAGCACGTGGAAGTTCCTTATAGTAATACTGTTCTTCGGCCTAGCATGTCTAATGCTGATGAGCAAGAGTCCAAATGATTCTTCCGCTAATGAAAAAGGAAAAGTCACTTTCGTTGGGGGACTTAGGCTAGGGAGGCTTTTGAGAAAGCCGCCTAGGCTTCCACCTCGTTTATCACCTGACGAAGGACAACTTAGAGGTAGTTCCACTTATGGCTCGAACTCTGACCCGAAATGGGCAGCCAGACAGCAAAGTGTGAAGGATGCTTTTGACTATGCATGGTCCGGCTATAGAAAGTATGCAATGGGCTATGACGAGCTTATGCCTATTAGCCAGAGGGGCGTGGATGGGTTGGGAGGACTAGGTGCCACTGTGGTGGATGCTCTTGATACAGCCATGATAATGGGTCATAATAACATCGTCTCTGAGGCAGGATCATGGGTCGAGGCTCATCTCTTGGAGAGGATCAGTCAGAAGGGTCAAGTTAATCTGTTCGAGACCACAATACGTGTGTTGGGCGGGCTTCTGAGTGCGTACCATCTGAGTGGAGGAGAGCAGGGTGCGACGAACATGACACATAACGGACCGAACCCAGCTGTCTATCTAAATGTTGCCAAGGATTTGGCTGATCGTCTGCTTTCGGCTTTTAACTCCAGCCCTACTCCGATTCCTTATAGTGATGTCATATTGCGTGACTCAACCGCTCATCCAGCTCCAGGAGGAATGAGCAGTACAGCAGAAGTTGCCTCTGTGCAGCTTGAGTTTAACTACCTCAGTACTGTTTCTGGCGATCCAAAGTATAGTACAGAGGCCATGAAGGTCTTAGCTCATATAAAATCCCTTCCAAAGACAGAAGGTCTTGTTCCAATCTACATCAGGTAATTAGTTTTTGCTCTTTCAAGCTACATCTGGTTTAGGCTCTTTTTGATCTGACATGTTGTTTCTACATGTGTGCAGCCCTCAGTCAGGTGAATTTGTTGGTGAGAATATCAGGTTGGGATCTCGTGGCGATAGCTACTACGAGTATTTAATAAAGGTGTGGCTTCAGCAAGGAGCCAAGCTGAACAGTGACTTCACGTATTTGTATGATATGTACACTGAGGCGATGAAAGGAGTCAGGCATTTGCTTGTGCGCAAATCAATTCCAAATGGTCTTGTCTTTGTAGGGGAGTTACCTTACGGTTCTAAGGGAGAGTTCAGTCCGAAAATGGATCACCTGGTAAGCTTCACTCTCTATTCATAGGAGTATGCCATTTATATGTTGAGAGATATCGCAGCGTTTGTTCTTCATGAGGAATGATTCATTAAAGTTTTTTTTTTTTTGTTTGGTCGTCTAGGTTTGCTTCTTGCCTGGTACTCTTGCTCTTGGTGCTACAAAGGGACTCACAAAGGAGAAAGCCCTGGCGGAAAATCTTTTATCCTTTGAGGATCTGGAAAATCTGAAACTTGCAGAAGATTTAGCGAAAGCATGCTTTGAGATGTATGAAGTAACTGCCACTGGTCTTGCTCCAGAAATTGCTTACTTTCACACAGAGGTATGTTTTTGCGTGTACCTTATTTCCAAAACATCGATCTTGCTGTCTCTTCTTGTTTTTGATTTTAGTAATTCTTGGATCCTGATGAAGCAGGAATACTCTGAGGACGGTCTTGAAGGAGGGAATAAGAGTTCAATGTATGCAAAAGACATAATCATAAAGCATGCTGATCGACATAATCTACTGCGCCCTGAAACTGTTGAATCACTCTTTGTGCTCTATCGTATCACAAAAGATACAAAGTATGAAAGCTGTTCTCTCGTTATCTGTGTTCTTGAGGATTATACTACTCTTTAAAAGCTAACACATTTCTATAATTGCAGATACCGAGATCAAGGTTGGCAGATCTTTGAAGCATTTGAGAAGTACACGAAGGTGAAAACAGGTGGTTACACATCATTGGATGATGTCACAGAAGTGCCTCCTCTTAGGAGAGATAAGATGGAGACATTCTTCCTTGGTGAAACATTGAAGTACTTGTACTTGCTCTTTGGAGATGACTCGGTGATTCCATTGGATAAGTTTGTGTTCAACACTGAAGCCCATCCATTGCCAATAAGAAGCACCTGAAAGATTACTTCTGAAGACTGCTCCAGAAAATACACATACACAGAGATACACACCTTGAAGCAAGAATGTTTGGAGAAAAGTTATGTATAGTAACAGTACCATTTGGAGAAGAGGAGAGGAAAAAACATAATTTTCCGATGTAAGATATGTTTTAGCTTCCAAATCATAGTTTAACTCAAGTTTTGGAGTTATGATTTGTAGATCCTCGTTTACTTTATAATAGTACGTTTCTTGCGAATATTAATCTCATTTCTTTGAGCTTTCCCTTGGTAAATTGTAATCAGACACCATGAAGATGAACTATGTTTCGATACATTAACAGTTTGGAACATGTATATACACCACATTGTATATACACCACATAAGGCACACACAGAAAGATTCTTGTGTAAAATCTCCAATATTCATAACTTGAGAAAGCACGATAAGATCTGTATAAGTTTACACATTCAAGTGTAGTTGTCAACACAAAAGATTAGAGGCACAAAGAGACATAAAGAACCACAAAACTGAAACCACAAGAGCCCTCAATAACTGAATACGACACCATTAAGACAGGGACTAGCACACGTGAAGCGCTTCGACAAATGCGGTTGCAACTCGCTAGCTCAATCAAGCTTTTGCTTTTCCTGCCTGGATAGATTGTATCCGTTGCTGTAGCTTCATTATCTGCAAGAGTTTGATTCCATGAATTGAAACCATGAGATCATCATCACAATTTTAAGCAAAGAAACAAGTTTCATTTGTGTCCATAGGTCTCTCTATTCTTTCCAACAACATATTCTTAGATGGTGCTAAGGCCACTCAACGAGACAAGGAGGGTACTCAGTTTAAGTCTTTTCTTCCAGGACAGGCATAAACTGACACACGAAGCCGTCTACTAAAGTATATTTTTAGAGCTTTGTAAATTAAGCATCAATGTTTGGACTATTATTGGAGTAAGAACGTTAGTATCCAGGATGAAATGCATTCAGATAAGAACGTCTTACCACTTCCCTCTTGTTATTTTGTTGATCTTCCATATCTTGGAGAATTGCATCAAGCCGTTTCCTGCAAACAATATACATTATACTTGAGGTCATGGCGCTATAGCTCAGACACTTGTTCAACATCCTTAGTGTTTTATATAGCTATAAGGGAAAACATGTTTTTACAAGAGTGCTACACTCCAATATCCAAATTTTAGCTACTAATAACTTCAACTTTACACTAATTAGATACTTAATTAATAGCATTCACTAGTAAACAAAGGTTCTTTACTTTCAACTACTGAGCCAATATTCAAATGGGTTGCTGAATGATCAAAGATGTAACTTAGCTGCATTTGCTTCAATCCAATCAAAAGGAAGAAACTTACAGTTCAGCAGAGATGTATTCGATTCTTTTGCGAACATTTGCATTTGCTTCTGCCAAATCCTGCTTCACTAGCACTGGACCAATCAATTTGTAGACGTTTGCGTCTTCTTCCAGCAAATCCAACTCCTGTCAAAAAAACAAGACAACACACGAAAAATTAGAGCTGGAAGTGAATATGGGAAAGGAGAATCAAAGAAAAAGCAACCGAAACGATTCCTCTTTCAGTTCAAGTATCAGAAGTTTCCACCATTTTCACAGAATCTCTGTAACCTCTCCGTCGAAAAATTTCCATTTATTACCAGCAAAGAGCAAGCAAGTGGCCACTAAACCCAGTGGAAACAGTGAGACATACCTTAAGCACGAGCTCGTTCTCACCGAGTTGGATCGTATACTTCTTCCTCAGCTGGTGATTCTTCGCGATGTCTGACAAAATGAAATTTACGAAACAAATTTAGCAACCAACAAAAAAAAAAAGAGTTCTCGTTTCTCGAATCTTCAGCACATAAAACTAGGGTTTCCCGCCTCCAAAAGAGAAAAAAAAAAGGCAAACTCATCGAGAAAGGTGAAAAGAATCTGGGGAACCTGCCTTTCTGAATTTTGCCGAGATCATTGGCCTTGTTCTCTAGGTCTCTCTGCAAATCTCGAAGAGCCGTCGATAAACTCATCGTCTTCTTCCTCACTCCGGTGGTTTATTGAAGACTCTCACAGATCCACCAGAGAAGAACAAAACGCAGTGTCGTAGAGACGTTAAGTCCCACTGTTTAAAAAAGAGGCAAAAGCCCGTAGAATTAACTTGTACCTTTAACGGCCCAATATGCTTCTTTAAATAGAGTAAAACCAATTTTGGTTCGTCTCTATGCATATTCTAAACCAAAAATCTAAACAAGCATGCAACCTAATCAAATGATTATGGACTTGGAAGTGATCAAATGACTTATCCTCCGGAGAGTGAATTTATGAAGTTTACCGAGAAGCTAAAGAAAAATGAATTGTTGTTACTAATATACTGTATACTATTAACATATATATAAAATTAATTAAATTATTTTCATTTTAAATTATTCGAGACATTTCCTTAAATCTATCAATTAGATAATAATTTTACAAAGATTATTAATACACTTCAAAATTGTTTGATGTAAAATCCATGTATTTAAAAAAAAAAAATTGACTGATATAAGAAAAAGTATATTTGTTGAAACTCGAATTGATTATCTCTCACGATTTGCAGATTTGAGTTTGCGGATTAAAGAAGCGAAAAAAGAAATAATATGCGATTTGATGGCTATGTCTCTAGGGAGGGAACGGGATCCCTCAACTGCTTTCACTAGATCGGCGATTACAGTCAATAAACGGCAACAAGTTCCGGTTACAAAGAATAGCAAATAAAAGATCAACGAAATAAGAAGGAGCGTGCTGGATCAGATGAACACTTGCCGGAGTTTGAATGACAACTCCTCAGAGCTCCAGTAAGTTTCTCGACCACTATCTCAGCTTCTGTATTCGCACTCTTTTTCTCTGTTTTCTCTCTTTGTAACAAACTTTTCCGTTCTGTTTTTTAGGTTAATCGAAGAATGAAGATGACGACTTCATTTAACATCTCCAAGAGATTGGGCTTGGTGAAGAGATACAGCCCAGCTGAAGGAAAAACGGAATGGGCTTTGGGTCCAAGAGGTGTTTGGCTGAACCCAAATCCACAATCTCCACCTTTCAGACACCAACACCGACTACTCCGCCACTCAACAGTCACAAAGCAACAAAACATCGTCGATCCAGCTTTCTTCCGATGAACCACCGACAGACCTCACCGATGATCCCAACCGCTGACCTTTCCCTTCTGATGACAACTGTTCAGACAGAACCCAGGTAACACTCAATCTAAGAAGAAACCTCTGCAAAGAATCTTACTCTTTCGATCTGAAACTTGTCCTGCGAAGAACTCAAAAGGCTCGGTCTTTTGCTTTTGCAGCGGTACGTGAAGCCCTCGAAAGACCTCCGTACTGCATCCAACTCGTTCAGGTAAAGCAAACAACTCCTGAACTTCCACAACCTCTCTCGCAACACCAAGCAACTACACAGCCACAAATCTCGAAGACTCAGCTAACGAAACTTACTTTCCTGTGCAGAAACTCCACCTGGAACTGAAGACAACAGCCAACCAGCTCCACTGCTCTCACGGGTAACTCACTTATTCCTCTAAACATTAGAATTTAACATTGTCAAAGTTTTCACCGAAACAAGAACTGACCTTTATCTCTGTTTCTGTGAGTGCGAGAGAACCATTGACAATGGAGTTACCCGGAACCTTCAAGCGCATAAGGAGACGTTCACCAAATCACAGCAGAGTTCAAACTTAGGCCCCGGTAAGGCTTTAGTTAAGAAATCTGCTGGATTCTTGCTTGTGTGAATTTTGAATAGGATCACATCTCCCTGTGCGATGATGTCTCGTATGTGATGATACTTGGTAGCAATATGTTTAGTCCGCTCGTGAAACACAGAGTTCTTTGTAAGTGCCAAAGAACTCTGTGAATCACAGTGGATCTTCACACTTCCTTTGTTTAAACCCAATTCATCACATATCCCCTTCAACCATATGGCCTCTTTTACAGCTGATGAGAGAGCCATGTATTCAGCTTCCATAGTAGATAGGGCAATTACAGACTGTAGCTTAGATCTCCAACTCACTGTGTTTCCCCAAACTTTGAAAACAAATCCTGAAACTGATCTTCTTCTGTCCAAGTCTGTAGCATAATCTGAACCACAAAACCCTTCAATACCGAAATCTGATCCTTTTCTGAAAGTAAGACAATCCTTCGAAGCTCCCCGTAGATACCTTAGTACCCATTTCACAGCAGCCCAATGTTCCCTTCCTGGATGTGACATGTAACGACTTATCACTCCCACGGCATAAGCCAAATCTGGTCTTGAGCCTATCATGGCGTACATAAGACTTCCCATGGCACTAGCATAAGGCACGTTCTCCATATACGCAGCTTCTTCTTGTCTTTCCTCCTTAGTTAACTTCTTTAGTTTGAAATGAGATGCTAGTGGAGTAGTTACTGATTTCACTTCACTCATCTCAAAAGTCTTCAACACCTTCTCGATGTATCTTTCTTGAGATAAAATCAAACCTCCTTTCTCCCTATCTCTGATGATGTCCATTCCCAAAATACGAGAAGCCTTCCCTAGATCCTTCATCTCAAATTCTCGATTCAAGCTGTCTTTGATCTTGGTATTTCAGACATGCTTCCTGATGCTATCAGCATATCATCCACGTATAACAATAGGTAGTTAGCTTGTTCTGTATTTAAGTTCCACATGTAGACACACGAATCAAAGCGGCTTCTCTTGAAACCCACTCCTTTCATAAATCATCAAACCTCAAGTTCCACTGTCTTAGTGACTGTTTCAATCCATAGAGTGATCTCTTTAGAAGACACACCTTGTTCTCATCTCCTTTCTTAATGAATCCCTCTGGTTGAGTCATTAAGATTCTTTCATCTAAGCTTCCATGCAGAAATGCCGTTTTAACATCAAGCAGCTCTAACTCGTAATCCCTGTTAACAACCGTAGACAGCATAATTCTGATAGACACGTGCTTGACCACTGGTGAGAATATCTCATTGTAGTCAATTCCCTCCTTTTTTGAAAACTCCTTAGCAACTAGTCTCGCCTTGTACCTCTGTTTTTCAACACCTGGTATCCCCGGCTTAAGCTTAAAGATCCACTTGCAACCCACGAGCTTAGCGTTCTTTGGTTTATCAATGAGATCCCATGTGTGGTTCTTTGCAAGTGAATCCATCTCTTCTACTGCTGCATTATTCCATAGTTTCCACTTAGAACTTTTTCTTGCCTATGCAAACGTCTTAGGTTCTTCCTTCTCGATAGATTCAGCAACTGAAAGAGCATAAGCCACAAAATTAGGATCCCTGTATTTAGCTGGCTTCTTTCTGTCTTCCTGAACTGCTCTGTCTCTCATTAGAAGATAGTCGTTTGCTGGCGGATTCTGATTCTGCTCATCTTCTTCCCTGAATGTGAGCCCTTAAGTATCACTGTCCCCATCTGACCAATCTGAACTGTCATACTCCTCTGTACCCGCTGAGTAGTCTGAATCGTTCTGATCTGAAGCATCTCCACCTGGAGAAGAAGTCTCACCATGTTCATACTCTGTAGAACTAGGTCCTTGAATGAGTTGTTCATCGAACATGACTCTATTTCCCTTTCCCTTCTGACTCGAGGTGTCTGAACTTTCTGATTCAGCAACCTTCTCATTCTTCAAAGTGTATCTGTATATTTCATCTTCTCTGAACACAACGTTCCTGCTTGTTACACACTTCCCATCCTCTGGAATCCAAACTCTGTATCCCTTGACCCCAAACGGATAACCCATAAAGACTCCTTTGATTGCTCTCAGACTTTTATTTTCCTGAATAGTGTGAACATATGCAGAACATCCAAACCTCTTGAGGTGTGTCAAATCAGGCTTGTGCCCTGACCACTTCTCCTCAGGGAGCTTGAACTCAATTGAAGAGTTTGGTGTCCTTTTTATGAGATACACAGCCGTAGATGTAGCCTCAGCCTAGAATTCCTGTCCCAATCCTGTTTCAGCTAACATGCTTCTCACTTTTTCTATGATAGTACGATTCATTCTTTCTGATACGCTATTCTGTTGTGGTGTATACGTACAGGTTCTGTGTCTCTTGATTCCCGAAGATTGACACAAACTATCAAACTGAGAATTGCAAAACTCCAATCCATTGTCTGTCCTTAGACATTTTATTTTCTTCTCCATATATTGCTCAACTGCTTCTTACCATTCCTTGAACTTCGAGAAAGCTTGATCCTTACTCTTAAGAAAATAAACCCAAACCTTCTTTGAGTAATCATCGATGAAGATGATGAAGTATTTGCAACCTCCGAGGCTTTCTGGAGTTGATGGTGAACCCCACAGATCCGAATGGATATACTCTAGAATGCCTTTAGTTGTGTGCTTATCTGTAGGGAAACTTTGTTTGTGAGATTTTCCAAGAACGCAACTCTCACAAAACTCTAAAGCACCAACTTCACTCTTTGGCAGAAAACCCTTTCTCACTAGAACCTCCATGTTCTTTGAACTCATATGACCAAGTCTCGAGTGCCACAGACTTGTCGTAGCTTTCTTAGGTTCAGCGAGGTTAGTTTCTCCCTTAGTCACTTCCCCTTCTAGGTAATACAACCCTCCATTGTACTTACCCGAGATGACTTTTCTTCCATCCTTATAGAACGTAACAGTGTAGTCTCCTCCTTCATACTTGCACCCAGCTTTTTCAAGCATTCCGTATGAAATGAGATTCCTGCTCATCTTAGGCATATACCTTACGTCAGTGAGATTTACCATTGAACCATCTGGATTCTTAATCCTTATCTTGCCAATGCCTTTGACTTCACTGTGAGTATTGTTTGCCATCAAAACCTTGCCCCCATTAACTTCTTCGAAATCAAACAGTAGTTCTCTGTTAGGAGTAATGTGAAATGTACATCCGGAGTCCATAACCCATTCGTTTTCTGAATCTTGAACACTTGCAGTGAGGACTATTGGTTGTCTGTCCTCCGTAGCTATATTGGCTGAAGAATCTCCATGCTTTTGGCATTTGCTCGGACAGTCCCTTTTCCAATGTCCTTCTTTTCCACAATTGAAACATGTGTTCTTATTCTCTTTGTTGAATCGGTTCTTTGACTTTGATCTGTTGTTGCGGCTTTTAGATCGACTGTTCTTCTTATTATTTTTGCCATTTTCATTTTCAGATCTCTTGTCAGACTTTCCACGGGACTCTGTGACATACAACCCTTCGGCTGAGGACTTCCCTTTTCCAAGGAGACCTTTGCTTCTCAGCTCAACTTTCTTTGAGTATGCGGATGTAACCACTTCCTCTACTGTAATGGTTTCCTTTCCAGTGCCATACTGAAGTGTATGAACCAGCGGTTCGTATAGTGGAGGTAAGCTTGATAACAACTGTATATCCTGATCTTCATCTGGTATTGTTACTTTCAAGCTTTGTAGATCGGCTACAAGTTTTAAGAATATGTCAACATTTTCTTCTATTGACTTGCTTTCTTCCATCTTGTAGCACGAGAACTGCTTCTTCAAGTATATCCGGTTCGGGAGCGACTTCTTCTGGTAGTGCTTTTCAAGAGCTCTCAACTGTCCCAGAGCAGTAGGCTCATGCATGATCTTTCGCAAGATCTGATCAGTCAAGCACGTTCCCAGTAAGCTCCGAACTCTACGATCTAAAGCTTCTTTTCTCTTATCAATCATCGTTGATGATCCTGATTCTTCTCCAGGCTTTTCGGTGACTGTCATGATCGTGAAATCATCCGACAATACATCAAGTAAGCCTTGAATATCAACTTGGCCTAGGAATTTGTATTTCCACATGCCAAAATCCCCTTTACCGTCAAACTTATCCATCTCAAATCTTCCCTGAGTTGCTTCCATTTCTTCTGACTTTATCTGACCTATCTTTGCTGATAACAGACTCACTGATCCTGAAGAAACTACTCTGAGAACAACAGCGAAGATACCAGACTGACCACGGATACAGAGACGACGAGAACCGAAGAACAACAACCACTGAACCTTCAGCAAAACACAGCACACGAGATCTGATAATCCTCGACTATCTTAACGAGATAAGATTCCTTTCCCTTCCTTCTAAACAAACTACAGATCTGAGAGAATAGCTTCTAACCTGGAAGCTCTGATACTATTTGTTGAAACTCGAATTGATTATCTCTCACGATTTGCAGATTTGAGCTTGCGGATTAAGGAAGCGAAAAAAGAAATGATACACGATTTGATCACCCAGAGTTCACCGAGATGGCTACGTCTCTGGAGAGGGAACGTGATCCCTCAACTGCTTTCACTAGATCGGCGATTACAGTCAATCAACGGCAACAAGTTCCGGTTACAAAGAATAGCAAATAAAAGATCAACGAAATAAGAAAGAGCGTGCTGGATCAGATGAACACTCGCCGGAGTTTGAATGACGACTTCTCAGAGCTCTGGTAAGTTTCTCGACCACTATCTCAGCTTCTGTATTCGCATTCTTTCTCTCTCTGCTTTCTTTCTCTGTAACAAATTTTTCCGTTCTGTTTTTTAGGTTAATCGAAGAATGAAGATGACGACTTCATTTAACAGCTCTGAGAAATTGGACTTGGTGAAGAGATACGGCCCAACTGAAAGAAAAATGGAATGGGTTTTAGACCTAAAAGGTGTTTGGCTGAACCTAAATCCACAATACTCTAATTTTTTTCATTATTTGACTCACATAGTCACATTAGGATAATTTGAGACATTTTTTTATTTCTATATTTGTGACATTAGGATAATTTTTGAGGCGTATATATAGTAATTGTTACAGTATCACACTTAAAATATTATAATAATGTAAATTATATAGTTGGATTAGAGATGTCCTAAAATAATATATACATAAACCTTAAAAATAACCAGTGGTGGGGCCACGTTATGTAAAAGGGAGACATTTTGACCACAGTGCTTTTGTTAAAATCTTATGTAAGTAATGCTCCCTTAATCTTTTAAACAATTTTAATATTGTCCCTTATATAAATAGTTTCTGCCTCTGCTCCTGTGACTCTTGTAAACACAACAAATCTTTATTTTTCTCTTTCTATTAGTTCACTACTCAGTACTATAAAATAGTGATAAAGGTGAAGTTTTTTTTTTGAACTAAAACATGTGAAGATTTTAAGAGACCTTTATTCAAACTAATAATTCACTCCACAACCCTAAAAGAAATAGAGTTGGATCAAAAGTAAAATCTCTAACTTTACTTTGAATACAAAAGCAAATGTAAAACTTTCTTTTATCTAAGACTGTTCCATCATGTCTGTCCATTTATAAACAATTAAACATGTTAATTAAATAAGAAAAAGAGTTAAAGAAAGAAAGAAACATAGTTACAAAAAAAAAAACATTTCTTACTCTTTTCTTTAACTTATTTTCTTTGTTATGCGTGCATGGAGTTTTGTCTAAATATCTGTAAACAGCTTTAAATACAAGAAATTAAATGTGAAATTAAAAATAATCGTAAGAAAGACAACGAGTGCGGAATCTTGGATAAAAGGACACTACCCTTCCCTGTCTTTGCTCGCTGCCCGAAAAGAACATACAGAAAACACTTTTACATTTCACACTTACAGAGAGAGAAAGAGAAGAGAGAGAGAAAGAGAGAACATTAGGGGGTGGTGAGTAAGAAGAAGAACAAGCTGAGGAGAGATAATGGCTCCGAAAAACAATAGATGCAAATGGGGTTCCATTTTCATGTTTCTGCTTAGTCTCTCCGTCGCCATCTCAGTCGCCGTCGCCGACGACAAGGCTCCGCCGGTCGAAGATGGTACGCTTTTCACTTACCTCTTAATTCTTTTTCTTACATCGTTAATTGGTTCTCGATGAGTGGCTTTTTGATTAAAATCTTGGTATACTAGATTCGATTTCTTAATTGTAGAATCCAATCCATCTCTCTGTTATTTTAACTAAAAGAGAAATACTTACAGTGTATTGATTTGGGGGAAAAACATTGAATGGGGCTAAGGTACTAAGATTATAGTAGTATTAATCTGGATTTTGAGCGTTTATGTTTTAGGGTTTTGCCCCAATTTTACTTTACTATTGCTGAGCCTTAAGTAAAGGTTTCTGTACTAATTAAGATTAAAAGTCAAATAGAACTTATGATGTATACTGTGTAATATAAACAGTTAGCAGGTTTCAAATCTGTGTAGAAGATCATCAGTTTTTTAGCTTTTAATCAAGCCAGTAATACTAGGTACCCTCATATTCGGGGGAATATCTGTCAATTTCAGTTTAATCTGTTACATTAAAAAAAAAATGAAAGTTGCTGGGCATAATTGTCAATTAAGAATTAAGTAATCCATTCACGCTTTCGGCGGCGGCAAAAATTAAAATGGAAGCCCTTGAGCTTCAACTTATAAAACTTACTATTACAAGTCACAACTCCATTTTAGTTTACAAAGACATACAACAAATTGTGTTTCACTTGGAAACTCTCGTTTTTTGTTGTTGTTGTGTGTGAGTGAATATTGATTTCAACTTTTTGATTTATTAAAAAATGGGACATGAGGGAAGGGTTCCCGCCAAATAGAGGTGGTGTTTTTGGATTGTAGTGTCCAAACGACAAAGTGTCCTCAATAAAACGACATCGAACTGACCTTACACTTGTTATGAGTTTTTCAACACGCTTTCCTTTTTCTTCCACCGAAAGTAGTAAACTAGTAATACAAATTGTCTTTGTAAGTAGTAAATAAACTGGGAGTGTAGTGTGTAGAGTGTGGAAGAACTGTTGACATAAAAAACTGCTGGTAATAGTCAAAATCAGTCTTGAAATAGGTGGGGGCCGTGGGGCCAAGTCAGACATTTGTGGTCCCACTAAGGCCATAGCATTTAGCGCGATGTTATGGGCCGTAGAGCAGGGCCCATATAAGACGTTTCGAGCCTCGTGTCTTTTCTCTTACTATTTTTGTATTTTCACGTTCCCACTATCGAGTATCGACTATCTTAGAGTCGACAAAAATGTCTCTTTTCACACAGCTAGCTAGCATGAACGTAATAATTTAGCGTTTCCGCAGATTTTATCTATCCTAAATATTCATTTTGGAATTTCGATTTCACATTGAGTCTATTCTAGTTTTGTAAATATTGTAATCCAACTTAAATTCACTGGAACTTTTTTTTTAATTTTGCTATTACAGGTTTGGTAATAAACGGCGACTTCGAGACGTCACCGTCGAGTGGTTTCCCTGATGATGGAGTAATCGATGGACCCACCGAAATCCCAAGCTGGAAATCAAACGGCACAGTGGAGCTGGTTAATTCCGGTCAGAAACAAGGCGGGATGATCCTGATCGTCCCACAAGGCCGTCACGCCGTCCGATTAGGCAACGACGCAGAGATCAGCCAGGATCTGACGGTCGAGAAAGGCTTTGTTTACTCCGTCACGTTCAGCGCCGCTCGCACGTGCGCGCAGCTCGAATCGATAAACGTGTCGGTGGCGTCTGTGAAAGCAGACGCGGATGAGATTTTGGCGTCCCGGAACGTGGATTTGCAGACGCTGTACAGCGTGCAGGGGTGGGACCCATACGCTTGGGCGTTTGAAGCGGAAGAGGATCATGTTCGGTTGGTTTTCAAGAATCCTGGCATGGAAGATGACCCCACTTGTGGGCCCATCATTGACGACATCGCTATCAAGAAGCTCTTTACTCCTGATCAACCCAAAGGTAAACTCTTTTTGTTTTCCACAACTACACTTTAATTTCTCTTTTTTTCCTATTTTTAACCCCCTAAGTTCTAAAAATGTTCCGATGGTACCCTGTTAAGCACAAAGGTAAATGAATTGTTTATTCTATTTTTTTTTAATCTTAAATAAACTTATCTCTTTTTCCAATATAACCCCAAGCTGTAAAAGTCGTTTAATTTCACCCTGATCTTTTACATTTCCAGATAACGCGGTGATAAACGGAGACTTCGAAGAAGGTCCATGGATGTTCAGGAACACGTCACTTGGTGTCTTACTTCCGACGAATCTCGACGAAGAAACCTCGTCTCTTCCAGGTTGGACTGTTGAATCGAACCGGGCGGTTCGGTTCGTGGACTCGGACCACTTCTCGGTTCCAGGGGGAAAACGTGCCGTCGAGCTTCTCTCAGGCAAAGAAGGGATTATTTCCCAAATGGTCGAGACCAAAGCGGATCGTCCCTACTTATTGACTTTCTCACTCGGCCACGCGGGTGATAAATGCAAGGAACCATTGGCAATTATGGCATTCGCGGGTGATCAGGCGAAGAACTTTCATTACATGGCCCAAGCAAACTCCAGTTTCGAAAAAGTCGGTTTGAATTTCACGGCCAAGGCTGATCGAACTAGAGTCGCGTTCTACAGCGTTTACTACAACACGAGGACGGATGATATGAGCTCCTTGTGTGGACCTGTGGTCGATGACGTTAGAGTTTGGTTCGCCGGGTCGAACAGACTCGGGGCTGGTTTTGGGTTTGGGGTTTCGGTTCTTGTTCTTCTCGTTATCGGTTTGGTTTAGTAACTTTGTATTTAGATGTCCCGGTTTTACACCCGTGTACCAGGAAAAACTGTCATTGCAACCCAAGAATTCTTCTGGGATTTTGTATGTTTATCCATCGGTTTCAAGTACTAGAAATTCGAATGCATTTATCCTTTATGCAAAAAGCAATTATTGAATGTAAAACGAGAATTTTGGTTCAAAAGCTAATATTTCTTGGATATTTTGACCAGTCTATCGGTAAACCAAGAAACCAATGTCAATTCAATTTTGTACCGGAGATCATAAATATTTCGGTAATCCTAATTACCTCTGTGAAAAGTCCCTAATTTTGTCCTTGTCTGTTCTATTTGATCCTTGTCCACTGAGATTCGAACAACAAATGTCTCGTACTAGAAGCAAGGTAATCCGAATTACCTTTGTGAAAAGTCATTGATCTTGTCCTTGTTCGTTTTATTTGATCCTTGTCCACTGAGATTCGAACAAATGCCTAGTCCTAGAAATAAGGTAATCCTAATTACCTTTGTGAAAAGTTTCTGATCTTGTCCTTGTCCGTTCTATTTGATCCTAGTCCACTGAGATATAAATAAATGTCTCGTACTATAAACAAGGTAATCCTAATTACCTCTATGTATGTCCCTGATGCGAAAATCAAAAGAACTTGGAATAACTCAGTTTCCTACTCCACTGAGATTTAAACAAATACCTCATCCTAGAAACATGTAATCCAAATTACCTCTGTAAAATGTCTCTAATGCCAGAACCAAAAGAGCTCGTCCGGACTATTTTAGTAACTCAATTTTTAAGTTTTAACTGAGATTAGAACAAATGCCTTGTCCTACAAATGAGGTAATCTTAATTATCTTTTTGAAATTGCTTGCGATCCTAGTCACTACTCAAGGTATAAGAAATGTCCCACCTCTTTGGATAACACAAATCTCTCGGCGTAGCTTTAGTTGTAAGGCTAATAAGAAACGAGGCAATCTCTGGTCTATTGGCATATATTATTCTGTAATTACTAGTAAAATGTCAAATGAGGTTGAAAATCAATATGCAGAAGTATGGAACATGCATACTCAAGCATAAATACAACTTTGAGGTATATTTATTAATTATTTTTCTTCATATATTTCAGGTATGCAAAATTTTTAGTTCTTCTATGTATTATGTTCAATATCTTAACTGTGTTCAGAAATTTATTCCACCTCTAGTGCTTATTTTGTTTCTGTCGTTTTATGCAGGTTGACCTCAGAACTACAAATTCATTGTGTGTAACATATTATCGAGATGTTTGAATAGACTTTAAAGATGTCGTCTATTCATATACTGCAACTTCAACTTCTTATGCAGGTTCTCCTCTGGTTTTCAAAGATGGGCACGATAATTTCAGGTTATTTTCTTTCTACTCCTTTATAACAGTTTTGGGTTTGTCCTTCTCCTTGAGTTTTATTTTAGGAAATGGTCTTTCAAAGATCTTTAGACTGCATTTGCTTTTGGTTATTCTCGTTAACTAGATATCCTAAAGTACTTTAATTAAATTGCAGAAGTTTGATATTGCTGATTGAGTGAATTTTAAATATTGATGGATTTCATTTACTAAATCCTGATATCAGCCATACCTGATTGTTTTTATTTTTATTTGTGTATCTCTCTTTGAGGATTTATCTCTGTAATTCTGTATTATTCTTAGATCTCTAATTTTCTCTTGTAATATAAAAACTATCTTGATCTTAGCATTCATCAGTGCGTCTGCATAGTTTGAAATTGTCTCAGATACTTAGTTAAGAAATGTTATGTTTTTAATGTGTTTTATCATATTGGTAATGCAATATATAAGGAAAGTTAAAACAATATTATGTAATTTCTAACATAAGTCAAATGTAAATCGTTTGGCATCATCGGTTCTTGAATATCTTTCATGTTATTTTTCAGTTTTACTCCTTCTTAGTGCTATTCTTGCTTCAAACTGCCTTTAACTGGGTTCATGTGTCTCTTATATCTTTGTTTCTGATCATATAATTTCAGTATTTGATTGCTATATTGTTAGAGGGGAAATGAGCACATTTCCTAAAAGGCCTTACCCACAATAACTTAAGTCCATCACGACCAGGAAGACATCGCCGACCTAGCTCGGATTAAAGGAAAAACTCTTAGAAGATAATTATGGAAGACCGGAAACATCGGATTAATTCAAAAGATAAAGGAGAATTTCCTTACTTTTCGGAGAATAAGAGATATTTTCATATTTGCGATATGAAAATATACAAGAAGGCAAAAAGGAAAAGGAGTTCGGAGCAACCGACCTCTCATTCCTATAAATACAAAGGTCTCGAAGACGGAAGGAACAACACACACAATCTAGAGAGCAGCAGAGCTAAAACCAGATATTTCAACGCTTTCTAGTTTACTTCGCAAACTTTCTTTTCACTTCGGCATAACCTCTCGGTTATACCTCCCTTTGTAATTGCTACGCTTTTTTACTATTAATAAAAAAATCTTATTCTCCGAAACTCACAACTGTTAATCAAAACCCTAGTAGTGATTTTCTGGTTCAATATATATTAAATGCTTATTTATTTGTTATACTGCTAGTTTCTGTTTGTCAAAATGCCATGGAGATCTGATTTGGTGAGATTTGGTTAGTGTTTTTTTAAGTGACTCGTATTCTTCTGCCGCAGGTTTTATTTTGTTTCAGTGTACGAAAATGAAACAGATGAAATAGGTTTGCTATGTTCGAATATTCTAATGCTACTTCTAGCTCCAGGTATTTTATTAATTGTCTTAGAAGAGTTTTCAATCGAATCAGAGAACTCAATATATAGTTTTGGGTTCAAGAGCATGCAGCGTGAAGCCCATGAAGACCTTGTACCAAATAGCAGTGGGACGTTAAAGGCCTATTTAAGGATTATATGTTCAAATAAGAATAGCATAGAGTGGACTATCATATCGTTTCGTACCGTCGCAGTTACAGAGACGCACTCTGAGGTTATTGTACACTAACTTTTAAACTATTACTGACAACATCAGTAGCTTCTTACTCACGAAAGACAAGTAACAGTGAGACTTTTGCCTCAAGGTCGTTAAAGATGCCATGAAGTTAACAAGACATCGTTTGCTGCGTATTGTAACTGCTCCTTGTATAGTTTCCAAGCTTGATTCTATTTAGTTTTAAAAGTGAAACACAGCATAACAGAAGAGAGTTGTTCTCGCTATTGTTTGCAAACTCAAATCAAGGTGTGGAATCAACAAGACAAGATTCCCATTTTCGCTTATCTCCGCCAAATTTTTCATTTGTTAAATCTGAAAGATTCATGGCATATGACAAGAACTTTGATCATTTCAAAAAATTGCAAACCTTTCACATCGTGAGAGAGAGCAAAAGCATCAATTTTTAAAGTAACATAGTAACTCACTCTATGCTTGTTAAAAGGCAGAATGATATATATGCCCATTTGCTTTCCTTTTAATTTTTTTTATTGGAGCGGAAATTATAAACAAAACCCGAAATTTTGATGATTTTTAAGTAACGAAAATCACTGATTAAAGTTTACCTCAATTATTGAAGGGAAAAAAAATGATAACTTCATTTTTTTTTTGTCTCGGGATAATATGACTTTGATTGGTGACATGAGTTACCATTGATTAAGTTTGAGTTAAAAACTTAACTTAAAACTGTTACCAATCAAATGTTAAATTATATTTTTTGATTTTAAGTTTGAGTTATGATGAGTTATTGTTGATGTAAAATTTAAAGTTATGTCTTTGTTTAATTGCTAACTCAAAAGTTAATGCTAAATCAAAGAAAAAGTGATGATTTAGAATTTGAGTTAGCATTATGTTTAATACTTGCGATAATTGATAAGTTTTGCTAGCATTATTTTTATCAAATTAATTTAAATATATATATGTTGTATTTTATTTTCAATAAAACTTACTTTAATTTTTTATAGCTCTAACTATTTTATTATTGTTTTCTACTCAGCAACTTTTTAAATTTGAATAAATTTTTACTTGGTCTATAATTTTTAACTTGTTTTTATTTGACTGTTTAGGATATTATTAATTTATTTAATCTATATTATCATTATTATTTATTCTAAATTAATTTACTATATATACTAAAACTTAAAAATAAGTATTCTCACATAATTATATGTACATGTTTCTCAATTTGATGTATTTTAAGTTAGTATTAAAATCTTTAATTTATTTTATTATTTAAATTTATAGTAAATAATAATTAAATTTAATGTTTAATTTTTTTTTCATTTTATTCACATAAAATACTTTAATTATTTAATTTTTATTAATTTTTATATTAAATAATACATACTGCAACTTATACATCAGAAAAGTTATCATTCATCTATTTTGATAAAAATGTTAAGTCAAATTTATATAGCAGATTTACCACATAAATTTACTGTTTTTATCACATAATTTTACTGCAAATTACATCGAATTATAACATCCACTCTAAATCAACTTTAAAAATACATAACACCAATCGGAGCCATTATGCTCATGTGGGCTTAATAATCATATGATCTAAATTATAAGTCCGCAACACGTTTACAGTACGTGTAAACGAAAAAAAACAAAAAAAAAACATGTGTTTAATGAGAATGACTTTTGCAGTTCTGCTATCCCTGCCGGATTCTTCCACCTCCGACGCCATCGAAACAGAAAAGCACTGCAAAACTGCTTGAATCCATATTTGCTGCTTCTTCATTTTGCATGTAGTCGCCATTAGAAGATGAAAAAACTGATTGCACCGTTAGAAATTGATAGCAAGAGTTACTAGAATTTAAGATGAACAGAATATTTGTCAGACCACTTTAGAAAAAACGCCAGTTTTATAGATCCTGTATCTCAATTACCTGGCCCGTAGCATAAACAGACTAAGCCATGGCTTCAGGCCACCTTTTTTTTAATTTTTAATAGGCCACATATAATGCTAGCAATAATAGGTTTATTATACACACAAAATTTTAAAGCCCACATTTTTTTTAAAAAAATGTAGATTAAAACTATTAACAAACAAATTTGTAAAAAAAATTACATATAATTACTATAACTTTTTTTTAAAAAATTGTTAATGGGCTACATTTTTTTTTAGCTTCGGACCACCTATTTAGTGGGACCGACAGTTAATCATCTAACTGAATTCCCAAAAACTCGAATCAGCTCAGAAACATCCATTTCACGATCTCAACGAAGTATGAACAGAAAAGTGAAGGATTTGCTCTTTTTGGAAGAAAATTCAGCATAACTAACAGAG